GGCCGCGGCAGCTCAGACAGGCACATAAGAGCCAGCATACCGCCTGCGCGGCTGAGCCGCTGCTGCTGCTCCTGCTGATACGGTCGCTGCCCCTGCTGCTGCTGCTGCTGCTGCTGCTGCTGCTGCTGCTGCTGCTGCCCCTCCTGCAACTGGGGTGGCCGCCGCTGCTGCTCGTTCAGTTGCTGGAGCTGCTCTGCTTGAGCGCTGGACCCAACCCCGGCCCCGCCTTCCTGCCGGTACCTGTCGCTGTTCCCACTGCTGCCGCAACCGACCTCCATGCTGCAGCCGCCAGCAAGCGACTGCTGCAGGTCCACTATCAAAGGCCCCGCCACCTCCCACCGCGCCAGCCGCGCCAGCCCCCACAGCAGCGGCGCCGCCTCCCTCGGCCCCAGCGCGCCGCCGCGCAGCGCGCGGCCCGCGGCCGCGGCGAAGCGGGCCAGCCAGGCGTCGCCCGGCTTGAAGCGCAGGCGGCCGAGCGCCCAGGCAAGGGCGGACAGCTGCCGCGGCTGCAGCGAGCCGATGTGGGGCTCCAGCCGCCGCACGACCGCGTGATACCACGCGCCAAATGGGCGCTGCTCCATGGCGGCGACACCCCAGATGATGTTGACCAGGTCAGAGGCGGTGCTCAAGGCGAGCAGCTCCTGTTGCAGCGGCCGCAGCAAGGGCGGGTACGCGAGCGGACGCGTCAATGAGTGGAGGCGTCCTTGTTTGCAGGAAGGCATGATAGGTGATGACAAAGCGCGGGCGGGCACGGCTCTTTGCGAGCGCGGGCTTGAGTAACGAACGGGCAACGGCACCTGCAAACCACTGCCACTCGGCTGGGCAGGTGCAACCCTGCCAGCTGCCCAGCAGGTTCTCCTGCGGCGCACTGCGCAGCGCCGCTGGTGCCCAAGGGCCCCCTCGCGCACGCCAGCCCCACCCTCCGCCCGACCCCCCGCCGCGCTGGCTGCCCACCGTGCTCCGCGCCGCCAGCCGCCGCATCCAGCGCGCCGCCGGGCGGTAGCCAAGCCGACCCAGCGCCCACACTGCCATGGAGATATCCAGCGCGCCCGCGCCGCCCAGCACCCGAGTGAAGGCGCGGCACCATCCCGACATGAACGCGTCGCTTGGCTGCACGCCCAGCAGCGCGCAACCCCGCGCGACGAGCGCCAGCGACGCGGGCCCGAACGCCGCGCGGGCGGCGGGGCCGCCGCCGGCGGGGCGGCCCGCGTCGGGC